ACCGGTAGTGACGGTCGCGATGTTTGTCCCGTATATGTGCCGCCAGTCTGGACTCTGTGGGGTACCGGCGTTCGCAGCCGTTCCCATAGCACCGGTAGGGCTCGCGTACGCCGTGTTGTGACTTCTGGTGCCGTTTGAGGTGACGCTCGCGGCCGTAGGTTTGCAAACATTTGTCGCATTTGTATCGCTTCTCACTGTAGGCCACGGTATGCGCCGACGCGTTGGTCGTTGTCTTAGAGGTCGTGGCCGTCGATGATGTAGTGGCCGGCGATTCCCCGGCCGTAGCGCTGGAAAAGCTAGTGTTAAAGTGAGTCACAGTTTATGGCACACAATATATACGATACCTGTGATGAGTATTAGCCGATGAGAGCACAGGAAAGGGCGACACCAGTGGTACAGTCAATAGGCTCTGCGGCGGCACTGAGTGCTGGCTTTCATAGCCATCGCGTGGCGTCAAACTCCGGGAACGGCTGGTGTCCGGCGCGCCGGTGATGGACGTCGCCGCCGATCGGCGGCCAGTTGTTGAATGACCAGTAGTTTTAGATGCCATGCGTTTAGACACGTCTCGCAGTGAGCCGTCAAATGGCGCGAACGGATGGCCACTATCGACGCCGGAATGGCCAGTAGTGTCCGAAGCGTTGGAGTCGTCGCCGCGATATTCCCGTAAAGGCTTGTGGCGGCGCCGGAAGTGTCCGCCCACTGAGTGTCGGCCCCTTTTCAAACCGATCGCTGCCGGAACCGACTCTTTGGCCACTTCTTCGCCACTATTTATGTAATTAATAAACAAAACACACATTAAAACAATGCAATGGTATGTGTAATGACATACTTGTGGTCAGAGATGATGATTGTCGAGTCACTGTCCGCCGAGTCCACTGCCGGTGCGCTAAACTCTTGGCCACTGTTTACGCCGTTATCTTCGCCAATAACCACTTCCTCGACAGTAATTGTGTCACTATTTTAAGTAAAAATAACTAAAATTAATTATTGTTTTAATTATAAAATAAAAATATTTATATTACTTATGACTAGTGATTGTCTGGCTATCGGTGTTTGAAATGATGGCATCCATAGGTGTTGTGCCATCACATGACTGCTCATCTCTATTGTGGTTAACTGTATTGTTCCCAATCAGTGGCGCCGCTATATTAGCCATCACTGGTTCGCCACTATCTGTGTCTTCGGTTTGAGTGCTTAAAGTGGCGGCCAATGACTGAAGACTCGGATCCGTTATCAGCGGCTTAACATCGATCAGCGCCTCGTCAGTGGCGGACACATCGGTGTCCGACTGCGTGACCACTGATTGGCCAGCAGTTTGTGCCACACTATCACCCGCTGCTGTGGCGACACTATTGACGGCAATATTGGTCATCGAGTTGTGCGCAATGGCGTTGACATCAGATTTTTATATCACATGTTATATCAATGAATCAATGAATGAATACAAATGAAACAATCAGTAAATGGGATCAAGTCTTACGTATCGCCCGCAGCGCCGACCACTGGCTTAACGTCGGGACCCAACTGTGCGGACACCTGTGCGGACACGCGTTCCACCAATGAGTCAAACCTGTCGTAATAATCACTGTCGGGAAGCGATTGGTCGGCCATAAAGTGGTCGTCGATGGCGTCCAACAAATCGCCGCTTTATTCAATACAAAATCAGTGGTCAAAACAAATGAATCGGTGGTCACAAGCGATGGTCACAACCAATGGTCACATACCTGTCATCGATGTCTGAATCGGTGTTCAAATCCATTGGCAATACTCAACACAAATATCACAATTAAAATGGCAATAAAGCAAACATTTTATAGTCAGAGTTGAACTGTTTGTGTGCAAACTCAGTGCCAATGTTTGCCACACAATGCACTCCACATACAGTTAAGGGTTGGAAAAATACAACAACATATTTTGGAGCTTTGTATTATACAAGTATTTTTACTTACTATGGGGAAAAAATTAACATGTTTTAAAAACAAAAATTAAGCCATTTTAATGAATTTATCTTATTAATTATACATGTAATATCATTTTAATTACAAACTTTTGTGTTATACAATGAATGTTACAAGGAATAATACAATTGTATAATACAAGATGTGTATATTGCCAACCTTAGTTCAGTATGAATGAAATGTGAATTTAAATAACTCTTACAGTTCACAAACATTCCTGATTAATATGAAATATTTGTTTGCATTTAGTTTTTAGTATAAATTAAATAATTACCCTAAAATCGTGCCTATTACCCGCAGTCGCGTATAACCCGCACCATCAAAAAGGGCAAATATTTAAAAATAAAAGGCGATTCACAGATAACCCGCACTTCACGTATAACCCGCAAAAATTTTATATTGTAAAACCTGTTTGTTTTGACAAAAAACGCGTGTTTTTGAAATATAAGGTTAACACTATGGAACTTAATTTTTGTATTTAACCGTTCGAAAATTTTAAATATTTGTAATTAATTAAATTAGTTATTATGTCTAAAACAAGTTCAATGATTTGACAATTGATTCTGAATCTGAAGACATATCTGATAAAGAATCCAATATTATGACTAATCTTAACTCTCCTTTTGAATGTGATTCCGACTCTGATTTGAGTAATATGCTCTATAATATTATATTTATTCTTGAGTAAAATATTTTAATAAAATCAAAATTTATCATTTTAAGACATCAAATAATATTTTGAAAATCTTGTATAAATGTGAAAAAATGGCCAAAAATTCCTGTATTTTTCTGTATTACAGCTTATTTTTGAAATATTTATTTCTGTATTTTTCAATGTACAGGGAAATTTCTTCCCGTATTCTGTGAAAATTCATGTATAATAAGGAAATTCCTGTATGTTTGGCAACGCTACACATAACCCGCACTTTGCAGATAACCCGCACTCATTTACAGGGAAATTTCTTCCCGTATTCTGTGAAAATTCATGTATAATAAGGAAATTCCTGTATGTTTGGCAACGCTACACATAACCCGCACTTTGCAGATAACCCGCACTCATTAATTTCCCAAAAATATCACTTTTTTCATCAGATAACCCGCGGGTAATAGGCACGATTTTAGGGTAGTAATAATTAATTAACATTTAGAATAAAATTTTAATCAAATCTATTTTGTATTCATTTATATTTAATTTTAAACAATTATTTAATAAAACGTGCTTGTTGCATTATTCATAATTAATTACTTTGATGTAAAATTTTTGTTAAATTTTATTGATGTTTAAAATTGGTTAATAAAGTTTTAAATTTTGTAATCTCTCAATAAATAAAATTGTAAAAACAATTTAGTATTTTAAGTATATTAACTAATTAATATAAATTATTAATTACGATTACCTAATAAAAATAATTATTTAAACATGCTAAAATGTACTCACATTAAACTTTTATTTTTAAAATTCAAAACATGATATAATTGTTACAAATAATTTAATTATTCTAATTATCTATAAATATTTTACTTTATAAAACTTAACTTGATTAAATGATAATCCATTTATTAAACATTATTAAAAATTAGTTAATTAAATTTATGTAAATCAAAAGCTACTAATCACTAAAATTTATAAATACTAAACGTAACATAATTATCACCATGTTTATTTATTCCGATTATTTGCCATTACAACTGGTAGCACAACAAACACCAATGCAACCATCCCTACGAACTCTGTCCAAACTGTTTCCTATTTTGTTGTAATTAAATTATTTTATTACATTTATAATGAATAAGTATTTTATAAAAATTATTTTAAATATAGATAATCAATATTTGTTTGCATACCTTGTACAGAATTTATCATCATCATTTGCATCAAGCAAATAACACCGACTGCAATGTACAAATATTTAGCCATGGTAAACATTTCTGCCAAATTGATATTGGGTATAATTATAATTAAATTGTATTTTAATGAAATATTTGAAACTTTCTTACTCTAACCTTATATCCATTTGATTACTGGACTTTATATACGTTTGGAATAAATGCTGATTAATTGAGCTTGATCATATTTAAATAAATTTTATTCAATATAAACGGGTTACTTGTACACATTGAACCCTGATAGTCTAGACAGAATACATTTTAACTGTTAAAAAGATGAACATTTACTTGCTTAAAGTTTATGTACAGTATACATTTTCCATGTTATTTTCCATATAATTTTCCATTATATTACATTCGACATCAAACAATACTCTATATGCACTTAAATGATCTAGCACATTAAATATGATAATTAATTATTAGCTCAAAATGTTATAGCTGATTTATATTGTATAAAATTGAATTTAATAAATTAATTAACTTAATAATTACTATGTTGTCTGTTTGCATATTATAGTGGAAAATACATAAATTATACATAACACCGTTGCGAGTATTCACATGTTCATTTCGTTTTCTTTCAACATAAACACAACAATTTATGTAATTCCGTATTAATCGTCTTTTATTGTAATTTTTGTTCAAAACAGAATCACATTGTGTTATATGTGTATAAATGCATTCATTAAAAATTTTAATGATTATCAATTTTTAAATTAAAAAAATTTAAGGTTCGATTTGACACTTGGCAATTTTTATTGCAATTTGCAAAAGTTACTTTTCAATTTTTAAACTGGATTGCCATATTTTTGAAGGTCTAGTCAAGTATTAAGTTAAAGGATTGTCGAGTTCTTTTTTAGTATTTTTAAAAAATATCACAACAATATTTAATGTCTTAATTTTATTTTAACATTTTGTGTATTATAATTAACCCCAACACAATAAACAAAATGAGAGATGAACATGTTTAAATTAATAATACTGTATACTCACAAGTCAGTTCATTATGAAAACCGTATACATCAAATTTTAGTCCAAATTTAGGGGTAATTTTTAAACATAAATCCAGTTCTCTTAGAATTAATTTAGCAATACTATTGGTTTTACCACTCAAAAGCATTAATAGTAAGTTCATTGACTATTAATACAATATTAAAATAAGATACATGTATATTATTTGAATGTCTAGACAGAATAAATTTTAACTGTTAATAATAAACAATGATATACTAAAATAATTTGTTTGTAAATATCATTAATTTATACACCAATATAATTAATAAGGCTAAGAAATTATAAGTTATGATTAGGACTTTTCCGTTTATACTAAATAAAATTTATTATAAAATTATCAAGCTCAATTAATCAGCATTTATTCCAAACATATATAAAGTCCAGTAATCAAATTGATATAAGATTAGAGTAAAAAAAGTTTCAAATATTTTATTAAAATACAATTTAATTAAAATTATACACAAAATCGATTTGGCAAAAATGTTTACCATGACTAAATATTTGTACATTGCAGTCGGTGTTGTTTGCGTGATCCAGATGATGATGATAAATTCTGTACAAGGTATGCAAACAAATATTGATAATTTATATTTAGCATAATATTTTTAAATACTTATTTATTACGAATTTAATAAAAATAATTAATTACGAAATAATAGGAAACCCTTTGGACAGAGTTCGTAGGGATGGTTGCATTGGTGTTTGTTGTGCTACCAGTTGTAATGGCAAATAATCGGAATAAATAAACATGATCATAATTATGTTACGTTTAGCATGGTTAAATTTAACATTTAGTAGATTTACGTTAACTTAATTAACTAATTTTTATAAATAATGTTTGATAAATAGATTAACACCTAATCAAGTAAAATTAGATTATTTGTAACAAGTATTTCATGTATTAAAATTGAATTGAAAATAAAATTGGATTAAAATTGAATAAATAGTTTTTTATATGAATTTACCTTTCATACGATTATCGGACTTTAATTTTTGATTTGCTAATATTTCATACATTTTTAATTATTATTTTTATTTATATGGAATAACAAACAAAAGGAATTCTCAAATGTGTAACAATTCAACAAAACAATAGTCGAACTCCACTATTAAAACATCAATATTTTGAGATCACCATGGTAGTTTATTTGATGGTAGCTAAAAACCCAATTCATTGAGATGTCAGCCATAGGTTCGTTTAGTTTTGAGACTGTATTTAAAATAAAACACAAATTCGAGACAATTAAATGATTGTCTAAAACAAATTAGCATTATTTATAGATTTAACGTGCCACAAACTTGACATTAATCACATTAAAGTAACAATTATCCATAGTCTTATTATTTGCTATAGACTTATAGGTGTTCGTCCATTATAAGTCGTACAATTTATACAATTTCATAAATTAATATACAGAATAACTTTATAACATATATGCACTATACAGTGTAAAAGCAATAATAATACGCACAAAATAGCTTTTGAAACTTACCTGTAGGAAATATTTTTGTAAAACTTATTGCATACAAAACACATAAATATGCACAAAAATTATCATATTAAAAAATATGCAGTGATCAACTGTTTCTCAAAAGGATTATTCAACTAAGAGTTAGTCAAACTGCTATAAAATATTGTTATAAATTAAATATTTATATGCGAAATAATATTATAATGAACTTATTCGCATGTGATTTATTGTTACATATTATATTTAAAGCATTTTAGTATGGTTGTAAATTACAATGAATACAAAATAATTATTTAAACATGCTAAAATGTACTTACATTAAACTTTTATTTTTAAAATTCAATTTCAATACATAATATAATTGTTACAAATAATCTAATTTTTATAATTATCTATAAATATTTTACTTTATAAAATTAGATATTAAATATAGACATTATTAATAAAAATTAGTCAATTAAATTTATGTAAATCAAAAACTACTAATCATTAAATTTATAAACACTAAACGTAACATAATTATAATCATGTGTATTTATTCAGGTTATTTGCCATTACAACTATCGCCACAACAAAC